GCCCGCCTCGCTCAAGCAGGTGGAGCGGTTCGACCCGGCGGCCAACGAGTGGACCATGGCGGCGCCCCTGCGCGAGGGCGTGAGCAACGCGGCGGTGGTCAGCGTCGAGCTCAAGCTCTTCGCCTTCGGCGGCACCGGCGGCACCCGCGACAAGCCGCCCAAGGTGCAGTGCTACGACCCCCGGGAGAACCGCTGGACCGTGCCGGCGTCCTGCCCGCAGCCGTGGCGCCACACCGCCGCCGCCGTCCTGGGCAACCACATCTTCGTGGTGGGCGGCGACGGCGAGTTCTCGGCGTGCTCGGCCTACAAGTTCAGCAGCGACAGCTACCAGTGGACCAAAGTGGGCGACGTGACGGCCAAGCGCATGAGCTGCCAGGCGGTGGCGTCGGGCAACAAACTCTACGTGGTGGGGGGCTACTTTGGCACGCGGCGCTGCAAAACCCTGGACTGCTACGACCCCGCGCTGGACGCCTGGGACAGCATCACCACCGTGCCGTACTCGCTCATCCCCACCGCCTTCGTCAGCACCTGGAAGCATCTGCCCGCCTGAAGACCCCTCCCGGCCGCCTCCCTCCTCCGAGGTACGTCCGCCGGCGGCGAACCTTTCCTCCCGATCGGAAAAGTGGGTGCAAGACCTCTTCCTTTTCTCTTCCAGATCTGGATTTTGCCGTTTTGTTTTGACATCATCTCCTGAACTCCCGACTGTGACGAGGGGTTCCAAGAGAAGACCTCCGAGACGGACGCTCAACCCCAAAAGAAGGAACCAAAAGCCCGTCAAGAATCTGAGGGCAAATGGCAGTCCGGGAGGTGAGCAGGGGCTGTGATACAGAGTGCCCCCCCTCCCCCCCCGACACCCGTACCCCCAGGCAACAAGTTATCTCCGGAGATCTTATTTCATGCTATTTATTTCCCCCGTGTGTGTGGGAGGGCCGCTACCTGCTCACGGCGTGGCCTGTGCACTCTTAATGAGGAGGAGGGGGCTCAGATTACCCGCCGCGCGGGGCCGCCGAGGCCGTGGGGGGTCGAGTGAAAAGAATTCCTGCTCAGCTCCGCCAAAGCTGCCTTCAATCAGTCGCCGCGTGCACCCCCGCCCCCCACCCCCTCTTACAAAAAGGGAGGGGTCCTGGTTAACTGTGCGGTGAGAAGGGCAGACAGCGCTGCGCATTGGACCTTCAAGCGCAGGCAAGAAATGCATCCGGGTTCCACCAAGCAAGATCCAGAAAGGCTTTGGTCTTGCGTTCACCGGAACCACGGCCACGCCCATCAAAGTTGCTCATTTGCCAAAACACTCTGACTTGCGCTCTTTTCAGGCTTCGCGACAGCAACTTCACAAGAGTCTGCCAAGCCGGCGTGGCGCCGACATCAGTCGCTATGTCCTAAATCACGTGATCCAAGTCAAACGTAGCCCCCCCCCCCCCTCACAAAAATATTTTGTCCCAAAGGGCAAAAAAAAAAAAGATTCAGTGCGTGATGACTGATTGCTTGTCAAGGTGACGGGGCGGCGACCGGATTCCTTCATGGCGCTCAACTTGCGGCGGGGACCGTCGTTGCCCCTCCGTTTGGGTCTGCGACCGACTTTGTTGGAGTTGGCGCACATCGAAGCGCCGCCAAGGTGCGTTCGGCGCTCCAGCGCGGCGCCTTTGTTCCGAAAACGTCCCTGATGATGGTTGTTGTTGTCCTGGCTGTCATGACGCCTTCACTTTCGACGGCGGTATTTTGGACCGCTGCTTTCTTTTCACAATGTGAAATCCATGGCTCAATAAACACCAGTTTTTTTTTTTCCTCTTGGCTCCACAGAACCTTTTGTGTGGGTGTGCGCGCGTCACTGCAAATTCAGGTGAAAACTGGATTGAAGGCACTTTTATGTCTTTTTCTTTTTTTTGGGGGTTATCTTGAAGGTGGAATAACGGCAGAGAAATCTGTCGCCGGTTTAGCTTCTGGCCACGCGAGAAGAGGCGCGTGCTTTCCCTTTCTCTCCCGAGTCACCTTGGCAACCATTATCTGCAAACTGCGGGGGCTGGAGGAGAACATCAAATCTTAAAAAGCCCCCCCGGCTTATTCCTCGCCCTCTTCCTCTCACTCTTCCTCCCTTCTCACAGTTCTCTCTCTCTCTTTTTTTTCTAGCTATGTTGAAAAAAGTCACGCAATCATCCTTTCCTCGCATGTTTACATTCCTGGTCCTGACAGCGGTTTGAGAAACACCAGTTTGACAAGATCCTGACCCTTGTGAACCCATAAAAGGCCAGAAGGGGAGGGACTGCAGGGGGTTGTCCATTGAGGGTTGGGAGGGGGGTGGGGGCGCTAAAGAAATAAACAATCTCAGTGCCAAAATGTTGCAACGAGACACGAAAATGATCTTTTCTCCGGTGTGTGTGTGTGTGTGTGTGTGTGTGTGTGTGTGTGTGTGTGTGTGTGTGTGTGTGTGTGTGTGTGGCCCCCGTGTGTGTGTGTGTGTGTGTGTGTGTGTGTGTGTGTGTGTGGCCTCCGAACAAAGGCTGACATTTAAGGTGAAATGTGGGGACGGCGTGTGTGGGAGCCCCACTTCAACCTCGACACCCCCACGCATCCCCCACGCCAGAGCCGTCACATTAATCACAACAGGAAGTGGAATTTCCTGTCCAGCAGGAAGCTGGACTTCTTCCCACACACAGAGGCGACGGCGGCGGCGCTCTCCGACACGTTGACGAGCCCACGAAATCACTCAAAGGGACAACTGAGGGTTTGGTGTCTCGGGAGCAATTCAACCCTTTGGCTTTCAGAGAGAAAGGGCCAAAATCAGCCTCAAACGGCTACTGAATGATCTCAAAAACACCAATAGTTTTTCCTTGAAAAAATCTGCAATTTAACTTTTTGATTGGATGTACCTTTTTTCCTCTGATACTGATACTTATATTTTCCAAAGTTTAAAAAAAACGTACAAATATATGACTTTTTTTGTTTGTTTGATTTGTTTTTTTTTTTTTTTTTTTTTTTTTTTGCAAAATGCAAATAATCGGCCAAAAAATCCCAAATCATCATTTGCCTGATTGTTTGTGAATATGGACTTTTGTCCTAGCAAAACTTTTCCCTTGAAAAAGCACTTCCAGTAACAAGTCAAAGTCATTTTGACGTTTTCACTTTTGCTGCCGGCAGTTCCGACACGGAAGGCCGCGTGTGTCATTTGGAGGCCACGCTGTCATCCAACATCATTTCTTCAGTGTGGCCCTACGACCAGATACACGCCGATACTTTCAAAAATGTGACGGTATCCAATGTTTTAAATTGCGCATACGATGTAACACAAGCTCCCATCGGGTGGTCCGGGGCGGGGGAGCCAATCCCGGGCGCCGATCACAACCTGACATCGGGGCGGGGCGAGGCACTGACCAATTGGGTGCGTTAAAATCCCATCCAGCTGTCAGACATCTTGCCTCGCTTCTCCGCTAATTACAGAGTCAAAGGCTTCCTGGTAGGCCGCAAGCCCCCTCCCCACCTCGGCGCACCCCCTACCCGAGCCATCACCGCAGGCGGCAGTGGGGCTTCGAGTGCTTCTTCAAGTCAGCTGCCTTACGTCAGTGCAAAAGTATCCATTGTGCCTCAACAGTGGATGACATGATGTTTGGGAATAGGCGACCCCCACCCCCCTTTTCCCCTCATAATAGAAGAGCTTTTTTTGTTTCTTTGTAAATAAGGAGTGTCAAAATCATGCTTTTTTTTTTCCTGGAAAATAAATTCTGTGCTGAAAAAAAATACACTTCCCCCCCTTTTTGAAATGAAAATATAAAATGTACTTTTCTGAAAAGAGATAATAGGAGAGTTTCTCGCCTCGAGGGAAAAAAAAAGACAAGCTTTTTTCTTCCATGAAAATTCATGCACGGGATGTCAGATATACAATTGACATCAAAGGTTTACACGCCCCTTTAAAACAACAACAACAACAACAACAACTCTTTCGACCACGGTACCGCTGTTCTAGAAGGCTTTTTCTGACATTTTGTCCTCCAGTTGAGTTGTATCGCTTATAGGTCACACGAATGACCTTAGTCTCATATTTGAACACGGGTGGGAAGACTTTTGAGATGTAATGTACGGACTTTTGAGAATGATACGACGCCATTATTTTTTGTGGACCCCCGAGCTACGGCGAGCGGACGCTTGGGGCTCAAACAGACCCACCGAGTCATTTAGTTGTGAAATTCATTTTTTTGCAGTTATGTTTTGGTCTGTATTATACTGCCCTCTTGTGGCAGATGCGCTGAAAGTATTTATGTGAACTAAATTCGAGGTGAAAAAACAGCAGCCAGTTCGAAGCAGTTTTACTGTACTCCCATTCAAACGCAACGAATATGTTTGTGATGCAATTAAGATGTTAATGAACATGATCTTTCATGTCATACATGGACGTCATCAAGGTGAGTTGACACATGACGTGAGTTTCGCTGTTTTCAAAACAAAGCAACTTCCCGGCTCTCCAAACAGCGACGACGAGTACTTGAACGCACCACGAGGTTCACGGAAAGACATTACCCGCTTTGGCTGCGCCTGCGTGTTTGGACACTTTGATCCCACTTCTGGTCGAGTTTCTCTCTCTCGTCACGGCTCCATCCGCGTCGTCAGCTGGGTGTCGACGGCAGGCGAGAGGACAGCGGCTCCTCTTCTTCCTCCATCGAGTTCGGAGCAAAAGACGGCCCGGCGGCCAGCAGATGGGGCCATCTCATCCTGATCGTCCGCCATCACAAAATATCAAATCTCGCGAGACCACTTCCGTACTGTTAACCTGTGCCGATGAAACACTTCACTGTGTATACAGATTAAAAAATATATCAACAGCCTGGAGGTCGCTCAAAATAAGTTAGTAATAGGTCAACTTTTTTTTTTTTTTTGTTGCCAAAAACAATTAATACAGTATTGCAGTCATAGCTACTGTACGTGCACACAAATTGAAAAAAAACCCAAAACAAATGCATTTGTGGCCAAAATATAACCATTGTCGCCAGCAAAAAAAAAGATGCAATGACAAGAAAGATTGCAATAATGCAGTACCTTCAGTATACTAATTGTGAAACTCACAACCAAAAAATGGTGGCAAACAGCTTTTGTCCAGGTGAAGCTCCTTCACTCAATTAATGATAGTTTCTTAGCGCCGACATGCTAAAAAACGGCAGTAAATCACTACTTTGGTCTAAAAAAATAAAGCCGCTCACTTCGACGTGGTTCCTTGGCACCGACATGCTAAAAATGGTAGCAAAGCCCCAATTTTGTCTCAAAAAAAGCTGCCTAATTCACCGGAGGAACTGTGCCCAAATGCTTATCCAGTTCATATCGTGGCCACAAAAAAGTTGCTCTCCACTTTATTTCTGGGGCGCCATTGCAAGCAACCAAAAGAAGCTCGTGACACCAAATCGCGTTTTAATGAAATTAGGGAGGAAGAGTAAAAAAAGTTAAGTTGACATCTTTTTATACACTATTTACAGACCCTTTACAAAACACAAAGATAAAATCCACGGCAAAACTAACAGCATCCGAGCAGGTGCAGCAGCTTGGCGTCCATGCCCTCGATGTCGGATTCGTCGCCCGAGTCGGGACACTTGTTGGGCGCGGCGGGCGAGGCGGGACACGGCGCGGCGGGAGAGTCGGCGCCCTCGGCGGTGATGACGGCCTCCAGCCACGAAGAGAGCGAGGAGGACGAGGAGGAGGACTCGAAGGAAGAGCAGGAGGAGGCGGGCGCGTCATCGCCGGTGTTCCAGGCGTCGCCGCCCTGATGCTTTGCTGCGGAAAGCGCACGTCGGTCAGCCAGTACTTTAAAAAGCAGACGATCTCATTTGGACGGGAATTGCGCATGAATGCTGAAGAGCTGACGCCAAGCGGAAATGCCCCGCAATGATCCGAAGGGTTCAAATGTAAAACGGGAGAAGCTGGAATGGTTTCGAAGCGCGCCAAGATGCGGAAGGTCAAGGAAAACGAATGAGCCGCGGACGAGATTAGCCGTGGGGCCTGGCGGCGTGGAACGAGGGTAGCGGCCCTCGCGCCAAAATCTCGTGTCCAACAAGGCTCGGACAACAACGGGGCCGAAGGCAAACTCTCTTCATCGCGGAAGTCGTTCGCCAAGACACCGCGACACTTGCGCCGCTTTACGACACCAAAAGCCGTATTTGTGTGGCTTTACGACACCGATGTCTTTGCGTGTTGTGAGACGAGACGTAGGCGGGCTCCCAAAAAGGTCTCCTTCCCTCATTTCACGCATTCGGATTCTCTCGCGCTTTGACTACATTTGAGGATGGACGACCTGCGACCGGTGAAATCTTTTCGCGGGCGCGTAGCATCCACGCAGCCGTAGACACCGAGGTCACAACTGTCGCTTTCAGAGTCGAAAAGCGACACGAGTGGACAACTTTTACGATGAATCGAGTGCTCATCCGCACACAGTTGCTGTCCGCGCATTGTTGGGCGTCGAGCTGCAAGTTTCCCTTTGCGCCTCGGCCCTCGTTCCCTCGGCCGCGCTGGGGTGAATATCAAAAGGCCGGCGAGGCGAAGCGCTATTCTCAGACGCCACGTCTCATATTTGTTGTCTCGGGCACCCGCGGCCGCTTCGAGAGCGGATGTTTTGTTTTTGGGCCCTTGTTTGCCTGTTTGCGTGCGGCGTCAGGCGTCCTACCGGGAGCTGCGCAGTCGCAGCGCCGCCTCTTCTTTTTGGGGCCCTGCGCACACGTTAAGACGTCGGAAAGGCCGGGCCCGTCGCGGCGTTCCCGACGGGAACGCGGACGCACGACATCGTCGTCGTCGTCGCCGCCGCCGCTGCCGCTGGAGCCGTCGGACGACATCTGCTCCCGCAGCTTCTTCTCCACGTAGGCCTGCTCGTAGTATTTGGCCTGCTGCTCCTTGCTCAGCGACGTCCACTGGGAGCGGCGAATTTCGGTCAAATTGACAACTGACGAGGTGTCGGGCCCGACGGCAGACTCACCAGCTGGGCCAGGCACTTGTTGACGGCCACGCTGTCCTTCTGCTCCGACTGGCTCTTCAACGCCGGGCGCCGCTCTCGGAGGAAGCACATGAAGGCGTTGGGCGGCTTTTTGGCAGCGGCCGACTTGCGTCGCCGCTTGCACTTTCGCTTTCGACTGAAGAACCAAAAGCCGGGCGTCAAATGGCCACGAGGTGTCGCGTCGGCGGAGGCCAGATCTTACCCGGAGGAGCGGGTGGACGTCGCGGGAGGAAGAGGAGCGGGCGCGGGCTGGGAGGCGTCCACCGCCGCGTACAGCACTTCCCCGTTCCTAAGAGGCAAACGGGAAGTCAACACGGAGCGGCGGCGGCGGCGCGGGCGGCCGTGTCTGCGTCCGGCCAACTCACAGCATCCCCACGGCGTGCAGCGTGGCGCCTTCGGGAAGCGGCACCACGGGCAGACTTTTTTTCTGCACACACAAAAAGAAGCCGTGTCAAAAGGGTTTTGTTGGGGTCCAAACATGCGCGACATTCGACATCCCCCGCTGTCGACCGAAAGACGACGTCAGAGTGCCTTCGGGCTGGCGTTGCCAACGTCACAGCTCGCCTCTTTTGCGGGTTTGCTCTTGCACTTGGGACGCGCGCGAGAACATTTTGGACTTGACTTCTATTTGGGGCATTTTTTTCCAAACTTCAAACAGTTCCCATGTCTCCTCACGTGTCTCTGTTATGTTTGCAAATGTTGTGACACGGCAGGTCCTGTTTTGATGAGGTCACACAAGATCTACTCGATTGATGAGTTCCACACGTGATGTGCGGGCCATCGTTCCGGATGCAAACACTTCCATGTCACATATTGCTGAACGATGCTGTCTCCAGCTGTCACTCTCACACTGAAGATGAAGAACCCGTGCGTGCGTGCGCCTGTGCGTACCGGCTGCGGCGGCGCAGGTGGGAAGCTGAAGGACGGCTGGCTGTGGACGACCTGTGGCGTCATCTGACACGGTAAGTACTGCGGGATAGAGGCAGAGGGTGGGCATTAACAATAGCAAACGCAAACACGCCGATAGCAAATAAAAGATGGCGAAATCCCAATTGCAGTTTTTGGGGAGCGTTCAAGGGGCTTTTTCTGCGTGTGATGTCACCATTTATTCAGAACGGACGGCGTGGCACGTTTGGACCGCAAGGTGTCACGACTGCTTTGGGGGATTTCTGCTCCTGACTCCTTGTCTTCCGCTTACCTGGAGACGGAAAGGAGCCCCCGCCTGGCGGCCGAGGTGAAAGGGGTGCATGAGGTACGGGTTGAACTGCGGCCCGTATCGCATGCCGGGAAGCGGCACTAACTGGGCGTGCGGGACAAAGGGCAACCGCGGAGGGAAGCGGGCTGGCGGAGGGCGGGCGTCGAAGGGCATCCCCGCATACACGGCGGACGGAGGGGGGTTTGAGGGCGGGTGCTGGCTGGGAGGGTGAGGAGGGGGAGTGTTGGTGGGGTCGCACATGATGTTGGAGCACAACTCTTGCAGGGTGTCCGCAACGTCCTGCCACTCCAGCTCGCCTACGATCTGCTCAAACTCTTCCCTGAGCTTCTCCATCAGCGCCCTGATGATCTAGCTTGCCCTAAATCTGGCCTCCTTCTGTTACACACACACACACACACAAATACACGCGCGCACGCACGCACACACACACATTAGATAAACAGATTATTAATCCAAAAGGGACATTTCCAAACGTCAAAACAAACAGAAAGTTGAAGAAGAAACTACTCGTGTTCACTAAACAGGAAGGCCCAAAATAGGTCTCTCCGTCGCTATTTTCATTCATTTTTGAGGGACTTGACGGTTGTCCAAAATGCCCAACATGATGCAACGACGAGCGAGCGATGCCGTTGAAAATGCAGAGACGAAAGCGTGACGTCACATAGACTAGAAACCGGTGGTAGGTTTGGCATTCAAATGCATCCATAGACTTTATTCACTACTCAGCGCGAGGTAAATGAAGGAATAAAATGCTCAAAACGAGCGAGGCTTGCGCTAAAATGCAGAGCGGACATTTGGCACTCGCCTGCCTGACAAGTGCGGATTTGAACACAACGATTTGGTATTTACCGCCATTCCCGCCGCACGGTGCATAAACGCTAATGTCCATTATGATGAGGATGATCATAATAATGACTGTTATTATTATTTCTTTTTCTCCAAAAATAATTGTGTTCAAACTTTGGTTTTTCGGAAACGAGTGACACTTGCGCGTGAGGTGTTCGGCTAGCAGTTAGCTCCAACACCCACCTTCGGGTTTGGGCTCTTTTTTTTTTGAATGGTCGAGTTTTATCGACAGCAGCTTACCGAGTCGGTCCGCTAAACGTGTTTATTAGTCGGTCTCGCGCGATGGCAACGCTGCAAAATGTGGCCACTCGGAACACAGATTTGGGCAGTTCGCGGTCAAGCGGTCTCGTTCTTACGGCGGAGTGGACTTTGCTGGAAGCTCCGCCCCCACCTTTCCGAAGCGGGTCGCCACGGTAACCCCGCCTTCGTCACCCGCTCGCGCGAGTCAAAAAGTTTAGGAAACAATCTGCTTTTCACCGATACTTTACACGCCTTATTTTTTTCCCCCATGTTATTATATTTGTCGTTTTTTTTCCCTTTCTGACGCCGTTCCTTTCTTTCTTGCCTTCTTCCCTCTGAGTTGCTTGTTATTCTAACCTCCTTCCCTCCTTGCTTCCCTCCTTCCTTCCTTCCACTTCTCAAAGACGCTTGATATTCGGGCTTCCGTTCTTCCATCCTTTCCCGAAACCCACTTTTTCTTTGTTCCGTGTTCCCATCTTTTCTTCCCTCGCTTTCCTTTCCACCCCTCTGAGCTTTTCTCCCTCCCTACCGACTCAAATTTTGGTACTCCCCGTCCATAAAATGAAGACCGTCATCCACTCTTGGTATTCTTGAAGGCAGCGAATTAAAAAGCGGTCTTCCAAAATCGGAGCAGGTTTAAGAGCACGCGGCTCTGGGCCTCATGATCTGCAATGGCGATAAAAACGAAGCCGCGCCGCCATCAAGAACAATAACAAGGCTGACAAACGGGCATTATGGGAAATGTGATATACAAGGACAGGGTTTATTCGTTTCTGACTGACCCACCACAAAGTGGCATTAGGGGACCCGTTTATTGATTCCACCGCGGAGAGGACAGGCGTCCATTCCAGGTCACACCCGTTGTGCCGGAGTCTGTCACATGCAATAGCTTGAGTCGTCTTGCCCAATGGATCACGTGACTGACCGTTGTTTTTCTCTTTTTAAAATTTCAAATCACCTTCTTTTCTCATGGAAGAGCCACTGTTTGAGGAAATGCGATCACATCAAATGGAGAAAAAGCGCCATCCGTCCAGGGCGAGATGATGAGTTGTTCCAGTTGATGAACTGAGGCGCAGACCAAACTATTATTGCTGTGGACACGATTTGAGGAAAGACAGTAAAATCAAATCCCAATAAAGGTCACTGAAACCGCCTGGTAACAGCACCCACCTTCCTGAGGGGCCAAAAGGAGATAGACGTCTATTTGGGGCGGGGGCGTTGAGTGTTTCCAACTTGACGAATATTCTCTTCTTTGGATTTCCTTGTTTTTTTTTTTGCGAGTGAACACTTGCAACAATCTGTGCCGCTGGCCTGGTGGTGAAAACTCTCCGTGCACGTCATGCTCATCAAGCGCGGCAAGAAAGAATAGCCGGAGGCTAATCAAAAAAAACAAAGCAACTGTTGAGGTCGGAGGGTGTGCGACTCACAAATATTTTTCCTTTTTATGGCAGACTTCATTTCGCCCGCCCGGCCTGCTTGGGAACAAGCCGCCATCTTCCTTTTCAGCAACGACAGCGCAGTGGAGGCCGCTTGGAACGTGAAACGACAAGAATACCTGCGCAACAGAACACGTCCCAAAAAAGATGGACCCCAATGCAACGGTATCAACGATTCCCGCATGCGCTTTGTTATTGGAAGCGCTTCAAGATGAAAGAGGAGAGAATCAAAGTCTCCTTTCAGCAGCTGCTCGGAGACGTCCTGAACACAGCAGGCATGAAGTCGTCCGCGTCTGCCGCAAGCGGAGCCAATTTCAAAGTCAACAACAACAACAACAACAAACCGCACTGAATTCAAACAAGTTCGCCGCAGACGTGAGGAAACGTAACCGTGCCCGGTGAGGAAAAGTCAACCGGAGCTTGAATGAAAACACAAAAGTTCGCGAGGGGGAGGCATTCCTTCATTCTTTCATTCTTCACCGTGATGAGACGCTCACTCCATCTCGGGCCGAGGCGCCAATCCGAGCGATGACCGATGGCCGGCGAACGCCAAAGAAGTGTTGGCGTGCCGTGCTGACGTTATTGCTACGTGCCCGCCGGGATTTGCTTTCACGACTGACTGCGTGATGCTCAACCGCTACGCCATTGTCCACTTTTAGGGGGCGCGCCGCCGACATGTTGCCAGCCAATCGCGGGGCACACGCAGACAAGCGACCACTCGCGGTCACACCTGCGGGCAACGGAGAGTGACCAATCCACCTTGCGGGCATGTTTTCGGAACGGCGGAGGAAAGCCACGCAGGCACGGGGAGAAGATGCAAACTCCACGCCTTTGGATTCACGACCACGGCACGGCGAGGCGGACACGCTAAGCGGTCACCCGGCGTGCCGCGCGCGATAAAAAAATCGATCTTGTCAAATCGAGCACGATTCCCCGAAACACGCAAATGCGGGTGCTTAATCGGGCCCCTTCGGACATCCTCCATCTTGGCTCAAGTGCCGGGCCTCCGTTCAAAGTGGCAAATCCCTGCGCGGGAGGCGCCGAGGGGTGAGCGGGGGTCGCGGGGGTCCGGTCTGTCGGATCCAGATAAATCCGGAGAGGAGTGGGCGGGAAGTGCTCTCACATCACTTCCTGTCTTTGTTTTCTGACGCTATTTTCAAGGCTCGGAATGTCGCTCCAATGGCGGGAGGGCTTGGGTGGGGGGGGGCCTTCAAAACAAATTCATTAAGTCGCAGGAGAGCGAGAAAAGCCTCTCGCAGCTCAGAGTATATCGCCCGCCTCGGGCCGCGCCCTGCTCGCATCCTGCGGTGGACTCCCACCCGCCGGCTCCGGCATCATCTTGAATGGACGTGGGGGGTTGGGGGGGGGTTCTCATTTGTGCAACTCCGAGTCAAGTCTCGAACCTTAGCTCGCCGCAAGCACATTCATTGTCTTGTTGGAATTTTCACAACAACCTGGAACCAAACGACGAAGCGGCATGAAGCCACACATCAAGCAAAAGCAAACCGCCCAAATCCCCCCCCCCCACCCGTTAATTGAGGAACATTGTACGCATGCACCACATGAGGGGTGTGCACCCCATCAATAACCAACCATTCGATACGCGTTTTATGCTCCTGGGGGTCCGAGACCATTCAGGATGGATGGGTTTGATTGAGCGGGATTCCGATTGGATTGGATACGCTAATTCATTCGATTGAAAGAGCCAAAAAATGATCCCCGACGCCAAACTGATTTCCGAGCACGGTTGACATAGCATCAAAAAGCAAAGCCAGTTAGCGCCGCAACAAATCTCCTGTTCGTACAAAGTTACGCAAAGCTTTTCTCATTATGAGCGTGCGAAGATGGATTCACAAAAGTGACGGCGTCTCTCGCTTTTTGGCTGGCAAGTACCGGCTGTGTCCTCCAGTATATGTGAAAATAATGGCCGGTATTTTTTTTCTTAGGCCGGCGCTGATGGATTTACTTTTTTGGCCTCGGGAAACCTTGTAGCTGCAGGAATTTCTGGCAAGTGGGCCAGTACTTCTCCACGTGACTACAATCGATCGGATCTATTTTTTTGCCACGGCCAGGCTGCGAGGGAGGGCTCAATCCGCCAGAAATATCCAGTGCGGCACATTCCGCAAAAGCCGTCAAGCTGTCGGCAACTGTTGGCGAGGCTCCGGCCGACCCGAAGGAGCGTCCGGTCCCCCCGCTCCATTCTGGGGGGCTCCGGCTCATATTTATGGATTTGTGCCGGGAGGGAGTATGAAGTCACTCCGGGACATCGCTTGCGCAGGAGCATTTGGAAAAATCCCACCGGGTACGCCGGGGGTTAGATACACGTGGAACGCTACAAGTTGGGCCGGCCAGCTCAATGTTAGTGGAGGCCCTGCTGCGCACATGCACGCACGCACACACACACACACACACGTTTCGAATTAGCTCGCCTTTACACCAGAATGCGCCGGGACCACCGGGGGAAAGTTGGGTGGGGGGGGGGGGCAGGATCGGACAAGCACGCCTTGCCTGGGGAGGAGGCTGGTGGGGGAAGCGGTGTCAGGCCTTGGATGGCAGGATGTCCTGTTTGGATGGAAACCTCGCTGAGCAAAAAAAAAAAAAAAAAAATGCATGTGACACTGTCTTGAGATTCCAAAGATTTGCTGGAATCGAGCGTAGGACCAAAAACCTGGACAAGGTGATCTTGTTCGTCACCGCTAAGGCGCTCACTCGCGGTCAACAGTGCCACCGATGCAAATGCAATTTTTGGGTACGTCGCGCGCGTTCCCTTGTGTCGAGACAAAAAGGCAGTTGGGGGACCTCGCAGTGTCTCGTCAGGTCCGACATGAGACTGCAATTTTTCACAAAATAAATGTGGGGAGCTCGGGGAGCACGCGGCCGCAGCGATTTCTGGCAAGCAGTCGTCACGTGACAACGATCTGTATTCTTCGTCCACGTGACTATGATCTCTTGACATGGCTCAGCGCCGAAAGGAGTTTACTTCTCGACTCCTGAAAAAAGAAGAGGGACCGCTGTTTTACGCTCTCCTAACCCCAAGCCCTCAACGTCGGCAAAACGCCGGAGACGGCCCCGGAGAGATATACATCAAGTGGCGGCTAGCGTCGACACGAGACAAGCTTCTCCCGACCTTTTTTCAAGGCCTCAAGCAACTTCCCGGCCCGTGAGCGCACACGCTTTGCAAAGGCCATTCCATTCCTCCAAAAGGGGCCAGCTTCCCACAACGCGTCTTTCCCGACCGCGGCGACTCTCCAGCGGACACCTTCGCGGCGCCGCGTCCATCTGCCCGCCTAGGCCCCGCTCCGAGGTCAGCCTCGCTCGCCCTTTCGCCAAATCTGTCTGACGCAGATCCGCTTCCTGCCCGAGGGAGATCGCTATTGTTCGCGGGGAGCCGGCGCGGCCATCTCGCGGCCCAGCCGTTTCCCGTTTCCTGAGGAGGAGGAAGCGGCGCCGGCGCTCAGCCCCCCCCCCCCTCCCACTACTGACTACTACTTTGGATTTCAAAGAACAAAAGCGGCCGCATTCCCTGCACAGATTTTGCATTCTACTCCGTTGTCGCCAACGTGCAGCCTTGGACGTCGGCACTTCTCAAAGGTTTTGGGGTCCAGGCTAGATTTTGAAAATGTACTTATTTTCCTCAGGGGTCACTTTAAAATCCTAAAAGGGAACGATCATGTGTACGTACCTCTGAGAGGCGGAGGAATTCAAAAGATTCCCGAAAAAAAAAAGTCCAGATCTAATGATAAATCACAATACTTTTTCGTTGCAGTTTCGTTTTGACTTTTGATTTTCCAATTCATTCATTCATTCATTTATTTTACAACCCACCAATCCTCATAAAGGGCGCAATTAGTTTTCATTCCTTTTGTTCCATTTTTTTGATTTCAAAATCACTTTGTTTTAGTTTAGGTTTTTTTTTTTTGGGGGGGGGGGTTAGTGCTAGTTTTAGTTTGTTTGTTTGTGAGTTTTTTTTAATCCAGAAGCTTTGTCAAAAGTGAGACGACCCATTGGGTGGCGCAAGGATGCAGTCAATGCAGTCAAGCCCTCATGTGGACGGGCCTGCTCAGGAAAAACGCATTAAGGGATGGCGGCGAGAAACCAATAAGACAAAATCGCCCTGAGAAATTGCCTCCAAATCACTTTTCGGCTCAGCATGGGAGCGTGTTTGTGCACCACTCCAGTTTTTTTTTTTTGTTTTTTTTTTATCAGGGCCCAACAGTGACAGGAAGTCCGCTTTGGGGATTGTCCGTGCGGTTCCTGCCTTAGTTGCAACAGGAAGCGCGGCATAAAACCAAGAGGAAAAACGCCCAGAGATCATTTTGGAGCACAGAGGCGGGCCGCCACCGCGCAACCCACGGACGGCTCCGCCATGGAGGAGGCAGCCGCCGGCCCGCGGGGCCGGAGCTCAAGGGGGACCGAGAGGGCCTCTCCCCACACACTTCATGGCCTGCACGTGCACAGGTAAATGATCGGACAAAATGCGCTTTGAAAGCATTCTCCATCGAACTTTCTCGTTGAGTTGTCATCGTCGTGGTCGTGCTAGTGCAGGCCAAAAAGTAACTTTGATGAGTTGCAGAAACTATTCTCACGTGCCATTATTGTTTTTTGATGTTGGGTTTTTTTCATGAAAAGTTTGCGCATTTAAATTCAAATGTTGGAATATCATACGTATGCATGCATTGTATTGAATGTATTTATTTTAGTTTTACATTTTAATTCAATACGAGATTAATTTAAGTTGAAATGCATCAATGTAATTTTTGTTGAATATTACACCCCCACTTTTCCCTCTAATTGCGTATTTTTTAGAAATGCACAAATCACTCTTTTGTAAATGTGATAAAAATAAATGCAATTCAAATCAGTAAAAAACAAATAACAAAAAAAATATGACTCCAAAATACATATATTTTTTAAATTGGTAAATTACTCTTTAGAAAGTGTAATACACATGCGTAATTAAAATTATTAATGCATATTCAATATGTATTTTATTTATAATATATCCTAACATATATAGAATTATAATTTTAAAGAGATTTTTTTAAGATATAAAAAGTATTTCTGTGTGTGTGACTAGGTATGCATCTATTCATATATATAGAGAAGAAATACATTCAAAAATGTTACAAAAAAACAAATAGAAAACACACCAGTCCTCAAAACATTTCTCGTTAAAAAACAAACAGAAAACACACCAGTCCTCAAAACATTTCTCGTTAAAAGTAACTATTTCTCAATCTGACCACACCAAACTCTATTGATAAATATATAACACTCGAAAAAATAGATGTTGTTCTTGAATTTGTGTCAAAGAGCGACAAAAAGGAGTGTAGGCGATGTGACGTCATTGAGTAGCTGGGGGTCTATCGAGGGGTGGCGAGAGAGGGGGTCGGTCGTCGGGGGGAGGTGCTCCCATCACCCCCCATCCGCATCGTGTGTGTGCGTCTGACAGTCTGAACTGACGAGCCACACACGCACACACACACGCATAAACGCGCGCACACGCACGCACGCACACAATCACCGGATTTCTGATGACTATTCATCGGATTACCACGAATGGGATTCTAACGAGTGGATTTGAATCGGACCATTAACCGGAACCGATCTGCTTGGACGTTTTGGGTTTTCTTCTACTTGTTGGACTTTTCCCACAGCAGAGGTGACTTGTTTAGTGCGCGCTTCTTTGCGTTTTCTGCGCGTGTGCGCGCGACCGTTGAACGTGAGCGCGCGCGTCCCGAACGCCCGAAGCGGCCGCTGTCGGGAGGGAGCCGGGGAAATGGCGTCCTCGTGTGGACATTTTTGGTCGTGACGTCCCCGCGTGGCACAACAGACACGCGCACGTCAAGTCCTAACTTGGGAAAATATTTTGAGAGGAAACACTTCGAGGCAAATTCATCAGTTGCACAAACGTCGTATGTCCGAACGTATGTCGTAAATCAAGGATCCGTTCAACAACAATAGATTTTACGACAGTTACGTACATTTCTTTTGGGGGGGTAAGTAAGCCATTTCTGTGCAAGTAGACAAGCATGTGAAAATGAGGGCACTTTTCCTGATACATAGCTACATTTACCATTTGAAAAGAAAACGGCGCTGCGGTGTTTGACTTTCGGTCATATCGTTGAGAATTGGAGCGCAAAGCGCTTGTGGGGTTTGCGCGAGGTGTCAAACAGGTTTTTCTGTGACGTCACCAAGAAGGCGCTCCTCTGTTTGTGGCTCTCAGGTGGTCCCCCGGTCGGCGGAGCGCATTCCGACCCGCCCACTGCGTCCCCTGCTCTCCTTCGCTCCGGCTGCCACTGCTCGGAAGAGCGTGAGAGAAGAAGAGAGACGAGGAACGTCGTGGCAAAGAGAGCGAAATGATGCGAGCGACGTTCCTCGCCGCCCTCCTCGTCCTCCACGCGGCAGCCGCGCCCTCGTCCTACGCTCACGACCACCACGGGTAAATCGCGGCCATCGCTTTGTGTGGCTTCGGACAAAGTCGACCCCGTGGCCATTTTCATATCGTTTGCTCAAAAATGGCAAAGACACTTTTTCCATGTGCATTTTTTTTTTTAAAGGCTGCCTTGGTTTGAAATGAGACACTTGTTGCATAAGGGCAGAAACAGTGTCTTGCAGTCACGTCACGAGGCCTCGTTCAGCAGCAATCATGGTCAAGACGGTCTGAGAGACTCCCCACTCAGATGCATTTGCATTCATTTTGGTGGAAAAGGCATCTTCAAGGGGAAGTCAAGCCATGAATTGTCTTCACGAGAATAAGTTCTATCCAGCCTCACAAGTCCAAACCCGGCATTCCCACTGAAAAATAAATACATCAAATCATAATAAAAATCACATCAAATCCACAGTTTTTTGTCCATCGTCGGGGGCGGCCATTTGCCACTTGCTGTCGATTGAACGCGACGTCACGATTGCTCGGACTCATTTAACGGCCAATCACGGCTGACCTTCAGAAAACCTCTGAGCCATGATTGGCTGTTAAATGCGTCCCCGAGCAACCGTGATGTCATTTTCAGTCGACAGAAAGTGGCAAATGGCCGCCCCCGAATTGGCTGAAAACGGGTGCATTTTGCCGCTCAGCTCGTGTTCCACAAAGTCAATATCCGTCAGAATGTCGTGTTTAGATGAGTGCAGGCGCAGAGAACATATCTCTGCAAAGAAAATTTGGGGCTTGACTTCCCCTGAAAGGAATAGGAGAAACATCCTCCATCTATCTATCGAGCGAGCTAGCTTTCTGTCTAGCTCGCTAGTCATCGATATGGAATTAGCATCTTTGAAAAACACGTCGCAAATCACCAGTCTTCGTTTGGGACACAGGACAGGAATTCGATTTTGGCATTCAAAGTTTTCTAAATATGACTTTGGAGTTTCTTTGGCCCCCCCTGGCCCCATTCTTTCGCAAATGTTTGTCAAAAGGGTGCGCCTGCCCGCCTGTTTAATTTGAGACACCCGATTCTACTCCTTTGGATGGGAGAGCAAATACTTTTGGTCTCGATAGCACTCAGATCAGCAACATTCGCGACGTTTCAGAAGGCGGGATAGATCTTGACCGTTGTGAATCAAATTAGACAAACAATGACATCAACACGTACGTATAGCTATACAGAGTCACACTGACCGGACTCCTGACGCCACTCACTAGGCCACGTCCCTTAAATGCACGTCTGCGACACGTGAATAGTCCAGTCCAAACTTGGATGGATCCAGACGCATCAAAGTCAAGAAACGTGAGAGAAGAAACCCTTTTCTCTCGGGCTCTCTTGCTAGGAGGAGAGCGTGCGGCGGCCGGGAGCCTCGCCGCCATCGTCGGCATCATCGCATGGTCACGGCGACCGAGTCGTACGTCCTGCCGCTGCATAAGCCCTTCCTGACGCTGTGTCAGGGCCGCCGCCTCTGCAGCACCTACAAGTGAGTCCGTCCGATCTTGGCGACCATTGCCGCAGAAAACACCCAATGTCGAAGGCGTCGTCGGACTTTGGCGCCGTATCGCACGCGAATGAAGGTTGAAAACGCTCATGGAGAGCAGTCATCCAATGTCCAATTTCAGCTGCTGCCACGGAAAATACATGACTGACGCTGATGGTGAAAAAAACTCAACTGAACCCGCATTTCACTCGGAAGAAATACACGGAAAATATCAAATTCACGTTTGTTTGACGAAACTCATTTGGAAAACAAATGAAAAATACAAATGATGATTTTGGCAACCGTTTCATCAATTTTACAAGCCTTTTGTCAAAAGACATCGATTTTAAATGATGCGGTAACGACGCAACCGAACGCTTACAAAAAGTCAATCGACACAGAGTAAGGTCGAAACAACGCACGCTTTGTCGGCGCTTTACTCGATAGCACGCGCGCCCGCAGGCCCGTCCGCAAGTGGGTCCGAGCGGAATGTGGTGGCGTTATCGAGCAATTTGTCTAACGACGGGAAACGTGCGCCCACAGAGACCGCCGCGCTTGTTTATGTTGCTCACGGTCCTCCCGGCTAACTCGGCGCCGCCGTGGCCAGCCCCGTTTGGAAAACGTCTCTGGCCGCAGCGCCCCGGTCACACCAAAGCCCGAACGTTGGTGTCGACGGCGGCCGGGCGAGCGTTCCCGGTCCTCCTGGCCGACGCCCGGCAGCCGGATGTCTTCCTCCGCGCTGCCATCTTTTCCGACGGCCGCGGGAGGCCGGCGGTACTGTTTACACAAATGATTTCACATCCTCCAAGCGATAAACAAGATCGAGAGGCCAGATACATGAAAGTGGCGAGTCGATGGAGGAAATTGTCATGAAAGAAAAACAAAAAAGGGGGGAATTCTTCGCCACGGAGTGTCGCCCGTTTGCGTCATTTCAAGTTGGTAGCCATCAGAAAAAAATCTCCAGGACGACTTTGTCCATCGGTCACCCTCCAAAATGGCCTCCAATGTCCCTTTGGAACCAAAGTGGAGCGCCGTTGGACAAAATCTCCCGAGGACACGTTTATTTATTGACTCTTGCAAATGGCCAGAAAACAGCTCCGAAGAGGCTCCTTGGAACCAAAATGGCCGACTTCCCGTGCGTGGCTTCTTGAGATTTTTCTGCGGGTCTCCTTCACCGAGCGAAAGTGGCGGCTTACGAAGGAGTTTGCCGTTTCGTCGTCTCCACAGGACGACGTACACGCTGGCGTACCGCCAGGTGAGCAGAGTGGCGTCTTTCTCCAACTTCGACCCCGAATGTTGTCCAGGGTGGAGACGCTTTCACTCGCTTCGCTGTAACCAAGGTAAGGGGCGCGTTGCGAGCTCCGTGCTAAGTGCCCGGGTGAGGGCGAAAAGGCGCGACGCGGCGGTGAGACTTTTTTTTTTTTTTGTCTTCCAGATGTGGACGAGTGCGCGGAGCAGCACCCGTGCTCTCACGTCTGCGTCAACACAGTGGGTAGTTTCCGATGCACGTGCCGCCAGGGTTACGTCCTGGCCGGCGACGCCCGCTCCTGCCGCCGTCTCGGAGGGCCCGCCTCCACTCCGGCGCCGCCGTCAGGTGGGCCGACGAAACCCGCAAACGTCCGCCTTTCCGTGTTGCGTATTTCGGCGAAGATGTCGAAGAAGACGAAGACGAGATCGTAGCCAGCCTCGCGGCTCATTATTACTTTTGGTACGCGCTATGCCGCTCTCAACTCGTACCGTGAGTAATAATGCACTGCGACTGGCGCCCCCTTCAGCTCTGTCACGAGCAAAACGTTCGGGACCCTCGCGCTTTTGGAAGCGTCCGCTCCATATTACCTCTGGGCCTCGGCCGCGGCGGCTCTACGGGTGCCGCCCCGGCCCACCACTAGCGGCTAACGTTGCGCTTCCCCACCCGCGCCGCAGGCGGAACGTCGGGCGACGCTCCCGACAACGCGACGGCCGAAATGCAGAACTTGAGGAGCAGAGTGGAGCTTTTGGAGAAAGTATGTCAGCGATTTGGAGAGTTTTCTCTTCTTCCCGCGTCATTGTTCCTTTCGTGATATTTTTGGGAATCCCGCAGAAGCTGCAGGTGGCGCTGGCGCCATACAGCAGCGTTTTCCCAGAGGAGGTTGCGTCGGACGAGAGCGCCACCTTGCTGTCGCACTCCTTCCGCCAGCTGGACCGCATCGACTCCCTAAGTGAGCAGATCGGGTTCCTCGAGGAGCGCCTGGGAACTTGTAAGTCAAGCAAAAAGGTCGGGAAACATTTGGACAGAAAGAGATGCACTCAATGCGCGAGCGAGCTTGTGCACGTAGCATGAGAAAAAAAAAAAAAGCAAAGGAAAAATGACAAAAATCTGAAAGAAAAATCTTTCATAACGATCTGACACATTGGTTGGGCTCGGCATTGAGCTGAGAAAAAAAAGCTGTACCACTTTCAGGGGAAAAGAAACGTGTGAACGTGAACTTGAAAAGGTTTATTGATCGCCGTCGATGCTCGGCAACATGAGGCTTAGCTCACACATTTAGTTTGAAAGAAAATCAGCACAGAGAGGACGAACCCAAACAAACAAACTCGGCAACGTCGTCAGAAAAACCGTTGGGATGGTCTTTTTTTTTTGTGGACCTTTTTAACGCGTACGCCAAACATCAAACAGTATTTGTGCTAAGCTAGGCTGCTATTTGGAAGGCTTTTGAGCTCGGTGAAGGCGGCTCACCTTGTAAAAAATTTTTTTTTTTCTCCTCTCTAGGCTCCTGCCAGGAAAACTCCTGAGCTCGGTGAAGGCGGATCACCTTGTAAAACAATTGTTTTTCTTTTTTCTCCTCTCTAGGCTCCTGCCAGGAAAACTCACCGCAACCGGAACTAAAACGTGGCCGAAACACGCACACATCGAGATCCTACTCATCGCTTAGTCGAGCGCAATCGTCGCACAAATAAACAAGGCGCTGTTTCTCCACAGGTTGGCTTCCACAAAGGCGGCAATTCGGGCAACTCCGACGTGATGGCTTTCATGTTTCCAATAGTAATTCGAAAAAAAAAACATGTCAACGGTCATGTCAACAATACGATATATTTGATTTGTTTTTTTGGGGGCGGGGGGCAGGGAGCTAATGATTCTTTGATGTTCCCAAACATTACGCCTTTGTTCCAAAAACTAAGATCGTATCGTTGACGTTTGTCATTTGGAAAACTGTGTCTGTGACTTTTTTTTTTTTTTTTAACACGTCTGATGAGTTCATCAACCTTGACCTGTTTTCGTCTCTTCGCTGTTTCCAAACATGAAGTCTTTGTTTCATAAAACTTTGAATCCATCTTTCAAACTGCATTGTGTCAAATGCGCTCACATTCTCGATTGTTCTCAACTCAAATTTCAACTTGGGTGTTTCAAAGCCTTTCTACTGGATGTGTCTTTGATTTGTCAATCAAGTTGCACCGCCCTTGATATTCCAAACAACCGCGTCTTGGATTTTGAAACAAAAATGTTTCAAACTAATGTGACGTCACATCATTTAGGAAGTGTATCATCCAGACCATCTTTGATGGAACAACCTTTCACGGCGCTTCGTCTTATGCTTCAAACAACAGATCTCTTTGATGTATCTCATCACAACCAACTCGTCTTTGAAGTTTCATACGAGATGAACTGAAACAGTCACCGGAGCAGCTGTGTCGTCGCAGTCTCTACTTATCTGTATCATCCAGATAATCTTTGATGGAACAACCTTTCACGGCGCTTCGTCTTATGCTTCAAACAACAGATCTCCTTGATGCATCTCATCACAACCAACCGTCTGAAGTTTCATACGAGATGAACTGAAACAGTCGCCGGAGCAGCTGTGTCGTCGCAGTCTCTACTTATCGTGCCTTTTTCTTTCACACTTTATTTGAAATGACAACCAGTTATTTCCCACAACACGTTTGTTTTTGTAACGTTTTGTGATCAAGGAACATCAGTGACCCCAAATGTGGCTGACGTGTGTTCAACGACGGCCAGGACAAAGCTTCCCACCACCGGAGGAACTTGAGGGAAAGGGAACAAGAGTACGGATCAATAAAATACCAGAAAAAGAAAGAAATGGAGTGAAATCTTTTGCAGGGCATTCACATTCATCCCACTTTCTAGTAATTCAGTTGAAAAAAGAAAGCACATCGTCAACGTCCCCAATGCTGGCGATAGGGGGCGGGGCTTAGTGATCTCACACACTCTTGACACTTCCTCTCACACACGCACAAAGGCTATTACCTCGAAGCCGTCTTTAATAGCTTTGGTGAAAATGATTTAAAAAAAGAATTCATAAAAGTAAAGCCCCCACCCTCCAAACAATTTTTTTTTTCATTTACAATTTCATCTTCATTTTCCTTTAAGGTGAGGAAATAATCAAGACCACGAAAATGATACCGAGAAGTGAACTTTTCGTCATTCACTGCATCGCACTTCATTAGCATAAACGTATCAGCCGTTGCATGCTCAACCAATCAGATGGTTGCATGGTCCAAGGGGGCGGGGTGTACTCCCCGAAACGTCGTCACAGGTGAAACAACAGCCCCCGCCCCCTCCTCAAAATAAAATTAAAACCCAGACAGGTTGGGAGCATTTTGGGGTTCGGTTTGACATTCAAAAGGCAAATAACTGACAAAACTTGGTCAATAAATGGAAGCCAAGCGTGTGGTCCTTTGTCGTACTCCCCCGAAACGTTTTTAGGGTCGTCACAGGTGAAACGACAGCCCCCGCCCCCTCCTCAAAATAAAATAAAATAAAAACCAGACAGGTTGGGAGCATTTTGGGGTTCGGTTTGACATTCAAAAGGCAAATAACTGACAAAACTTCGTCAATAAATGGAAGCCAAGCGTGGCGTGTGGTTCTTTGTATGTCAAACACAACGGCGTGAGCAGAATCAAGAAATCAAGTGGCACCGTGTTGGAAACAGTCGCAATGTTTTCAAAACATCAAGCCAAGCTTCAAGCCATAAATACATTTCTCTTTCTCGAACGAAGGTCAATAAATGGAAGCCAAGCGTGTGGTCCTTTGTATGTCAAACACAAAGGCGTTAGCAGAATCAAGAATCAAGTGGCACCGTGATGCAAACAGTCGCAATGTTTTCAAAACATCAAGCCAAGCTTCAAGCCATAAATACATTTCTCTTTCTCGAACGAAAAAGTCAACACAACGGGCGTCATCCTCCACCACCACGAGGAAATCGATTCAATCGGATGGCGTGGCGGAGAGTCAAAGCCAACAAACAATCGCATGAAGCCGTCCTTCATATTGGGACGACTTTTCGTTGCACGCGTGCTTCAAGCAAACGAGCACGAAGCCAATCCAGGCGGGCGTCACTCGTCGCTCCATATTCGACATGGACTCGATGCACGCGTGCTAGCCCGAACGGGACGCGAGCTTGGGGCGCAACTGACGTCAGCCCACTTGAATCCCACGCACCAAAAAACGACAACAACATGAACGTAAAGAAGCGGTTTGTAGCCTGCACACTTACCCCAATGACGAGGGCCACATTTGCAACATTTGGCGAGAAGTTCAACCGAGCGCCGCGACGGGGTCAAGTCACAATGTTGACGTTCAATTTACGATGCCAATCAAAGCAAACCCCTTTCATCTTTTTCCAGCAATGGACGTACTCTCAGACCCTACGTGGACATTTTGGGACTCGATACAGAACATATTTTCCGTTTTTTTGTTATTGACAGCCCGTCTTGGTGTCTTCCACCTGCGAATGGCTAACTGCGCTCATTTTGATCACACTTGCGTATGCGCGCGCACGTAGCTAACTGTGCTCATTTTTATCACACTCGCGCGTGCGTGCGCACAAGCAAGTAAAGGCGAGACACAGCAGCCATTGCAGCCTCTCCTTTTTTTTTTTAAATTTTATTTTTTTTCACCCCATTAGATCAGATCCTGAATAGTTTGAAAAGCCAGGAAGCAAATGCTTTCTACCTCTGCCTTCTGGCGCACCAGATGAACTCACTGGCGATTGGACCTCAAACACATTCCAAAACAAAAAGGCAACATGACATGATTAGAAAAAAAAAAAACCCAAACTGCATCCAAAGCGAATAACGCGCAAGGGCATGCACGAACAACAACGCCCATCCGTACTGCCGGGCCCGCCGTCCGTCACTCCGCTCGCAGAAACCGCGAGGGTCGGGACTGCGCGGGCCAGCCCGGGGACCGGGACCGGGACGGGCCGCCCGGGCCGAGAGTCACGGGAGATAAAAAGTAGCGGTGGACGCGGCGGGGAAGCTGGGCTTGACAAAATGGCGGGCGGGCGCGCGCTCAGTGCCCGGCGGGCCCGTTGCCGCACGCCAAGCCCGATATGTCCAGGAAGGCCGAGCGCATCGCGTCGAAAGATTTGTCGGCGAGGGACGCCACGTCCTCGGACGTCATGCCCTTGGTCTCGATCTTCGGGAGTATCTTTAAGCGGATGGTCCCTGTGTCACAGGTGGCAAGAGTACTCACGATCTGTACTTGCGAGGGGGGTCAATATATACGACGACGCCAGCAACGCTTACCCGATTTGAACTGCTTCTCTTTCCGTAGGTAGAAGTTACTGTAGGAGGAGAAGACCACGGGTATGATGGGCACCTGCAGACAGACAGGAAGTCACATTGCACACAAAGCCATGCGAGGAATACCGCCAGAGTGTTGTCGCCTGCGGGACGCGGTCAGTACTTGCCAGGAATGTCTCGGCTAAGCGGTATCATTTCAATCAAGAACTGTGTTGATTTCTTTTTTTTTTTTTTTTGATGGTGGCATTGAATGACTCCCTTCCTCCCGTCCCGGGCCGGAGTGTGCGCTGTCAACAGACGCCCCGCGCACGCTCCCCCACTCGCGACCCGTCAGGGGATGCAGCTCATTAACGCACGCATCTGTCGCTCGGCCCCTTCTCACTAATCATTCTACGACGGCAAGACTTTTACAAAACAATTTTTGCCCCCCCCCACCCCCCGCCTCTGAAATGGGCCCAGCGCTCAGTCTTGGACTCTTGGAGAGCGATTCAAGTTGGTTTGGGAAGCCACGTGAGCGCTTATTTCCTGTCTTTGATTTCCAGTTGAAGGGAGTTGAAAGAGTTCAACTCCAGTGCCGAGTTGAGAAGAATGTTAAACGTGCGCCTGCCGCCATCGAGTGGGAAAGCGTTTCAGTGTTCTGCCTGTGGTTCCGCTCGGGATTTTGAAAGAGGTACTGACTTGGGCTTGCACGGCCAAGTGGAATGCGCCTTTTTTGAAGGGCAACAGGTCTCCCCTCTGGTTCCGCGTTCCCTCCGGAAACACCCACAGGCGGATCTACGGAAAGTTCAACGATTCAAATAGGCAGTCGTTCTGCACGACGACGTGGAAAAACTCTCAAGTGTTTTCTTTCTGGGTCAGGCTGCCGATGCGAGCTTATTGGAGGGCGTGGGTTACCTGCTGGTCCAACATGGTTTTGGCGGCGGCGGCCATGACGCTCTTGGCGTCGCTGGTCTTCTTGCGGTTGATGAAGACGATGCCGCCCAACCAGCAGAGGACGCCCACCGTGCCGGCATAGATCAACTCCTTCTTGGCGATCATGGTGCAGCGGTCGGGCAGGATCTCCATCAGGCCTGCGGGAGGAAGCCACGACATGACCGCGCCGCAACGGACCAATGCCGAGTTCCTCGATGGGGACGGGCCTCGATGGCCCGACGCGGAGTCAAACCGGGCACCCACCCAACACATCGAGGGAGCTCTGGTGGTTGGAGATGATAACGTAGGGGCCCGGGGTCTGCAGGTGCTCCCAGCCGCTGACTTGGAAGCGCAGGCCCAGGAAATACTTGACGTGCCAAACCAGGGCGCGGACGATCCTGATAAGCAGGGGTAGGGGGGGTGGTGGTGGTGGCAGATAATAAAGTTGGTCTACAAACAAGTGAGACCGAACCGCATCGACGCCTTCGACGACCTTCCGCCAGATGTCGCTAAATGGCCATTAAACGCCCTAGAAAATGATTTGGGGAGCTTATCTTCAAATCCTATCTTCTATGATGGAGCCAAGGTGCATATTTGGCATTGGAGAAATGTGCCGGCACAGCAACAACCAAAACTATCAGAAGAAGGAAGTCGAGTGGAGTCATGAGCAGCTCGTCTTAATTTTCCTGTTGCGCAGGCGGGTGAGCGTATGCTGCGGCCGTAGCTTCACCAACAATCATTTTCTCTGCTGAACTTGTTTGCTCGCTCACTGCTAATCTCATCAACATATGAAGTCAGGTTATCTTAACCCTGCTGTTAAACTGCGGGTCAAAGTGACCACGTTTAAAAAAATAAAAATAAAAAAATCTACAAACGGTTACAGTAATGTTTTGTTTTGAGTTTTTTTTCAAGGGTAGAAAATGGAACTTTTTCTGCTGGCCTCCTTTGTATTGTGCATCCTTTAGTCTTTTAAAAGTTTGTAAACACACCACAAAAGTTGCAACTTTGCTGCAATGTGTTCATTTCTGGGTCCTTGAATGCGGCGGCCTTGCGAATCCACAAATACACGGCTACCGTCAAGTGGCCAGCATGTGACGCGCAGCCAAGTGAAACCACGTTCCTACATCTTTGAATGGAGCACCACTCGACTCAGTGAATGCCAGAACGTAAAAACAAGTCGGCAAAAAAGCCACTCATTCATTTCCAAAACGACTGCATGTACATAGTCACAGATACGACAGAAGAACGAGAAGATGGAGAACCCAAGCAGACAAAAATGAAACCTGTACCCCATCTGCACGTTACGGCGCCTTCTATGACAAAAATCAATTTTACTCGATGAATCGAAGGCATAAAGTGAAATACTAAATTGTTTTATTTGTTTATATTTATGTCTTTGTCTTTTTATGCAGTTCAGTTTTGCTTCCCTTATTTTTAGCTGTGTGTCTTTCAATGCACTGCATGTTGCGCTGTGGTTGAGAGGAAAGTCATTTCATCCATGCTGCATGTTGCACATCGAGCAGGGGTGTCAAACTCATTTCACATTGTGGGCCACACACGGCCTCGGTAGATGTCAAGTGGGCCGGACCATTAAAATGATACCGTACTCTGCTAGAAAGAACCAAAATAATATGTCTTTCTTTTGTTTTGGTCTAAAGAAGGACAAGAACAGTCGGAATATGATGACTTTTAATGAACATATCTTTTACAAAACATTTCGTGAAGCACCTTAGATTTCCTTCGACAAATGTGCAATTGACTTTTCTCATTCGCATATTATGCATTGCAAAACCTTCACAAGTCATTGGGATTGAAAAATATAGTCATGAACATTAAGATGAAACGAGATTTATAAAGAAAGGAATTTTTAAAGCATTTCCACATGTGCATAGAAAATCTCAATTTAATCCCTGCCCGCACCTTACAAACTAAGGAGAGTGCTATTCAATGTGTAAAGAATCAAGTATTCACATATCCTTGATAGCGTCTGCTGTGTTGGGTCTGTCTCAGTGGCGGAATGAAACTGCTGTTGTCTTCTTCTCTGATCAAAACAATGCTGTCTTCTACTCTTGATAAAAACATGGTGGCCCCTAGCGGATATTCCATGAATTGCACCTCATTAAAAATATTCTTTTGGTGTCTTTTATGCATTTGTTCACTTTTAAATGATCCTGCGGGCCTGGTCGAAGCCCCTTGGGGGCCGGTTCTGGCCCGCGAGCCGTATGTTTGACACAGCCGGACATAGAGCATATGTGACAATAAAGATTGACTTGACCATATTACACACACACACACACACACACACACACACACACACACACACACACACACACACGGCAATAAAAACGGTTTCCCGTTTTGTAGCGGTAGCATTGTTTCCCTTGCACACCCACCAGAATATTCCAGAATTTTACCTTGTTGCTGTTGTTTGTTGGCGGGTAGCATGAGGCAGAAGCTAATGGTGCTAGCTTCGTTTCGACGAAACGCTTCGAAAAGAATTGGAACTAACGCGGGAGCCAAACAGTTTTGGTCGGGTGTTCACAGCTAGCCCGTTAGCCTAGCGAGCTAACGGGCAGCCGATGGAGCTGTCAAAGCGAGCACAAGTCAAAACTCACCTCATGTTCTCGACGTCTCTGCCGCCGCTTTTGAGCACACAC